TTAACACAGACAAGTATACAGAATATGCCTGTTAATAGAAATCATCCCAGTACAGTGCAAAGAAGTAGTTCCCAATGTGAACCAATATTAAGCACAGGTGAAATTATTTGCCGGTTTACTGACCTTGTCTCTCAAATGCTTTGGTTTAGGAGAAGGGTCTTTGGTGTCCTGAAAGTAAGTGCAAGGGATTGCTTTCTACAAATGAAAGGTTTTCTAAATATTGTTCTCTATTTATAAGTGAATCCATCTTCACAGCACAATGATGGTCTTATTTGCATGGGAAATTTCTGCTTTTTTTGGGGGAGGAATAAAGAAATTACTGGTTTCAGCACAGGAAAAAATGAAGGTCAGAGCTTCTTCCACAAGACTTTTTATTCATCTTTTCCAGCTAAGAAACTGTTGGATGCTATGGCTTCAAAACCTTTGTCCCAGTGAAGAATTCAAACATCATCAATAATGTGCACAAATGCTGTGATCTGTCTAGCTGTGAGCCTTCAGGATGCTGTGGGGTGCTGACAAAAAGTGTTGGACAAGGAAACACGTGAAATTAAACTCTGCCACTCTGGGATTGTTTCTAGGTGTCATCCCAAGTGCAGGTCAGGATTTTGGGAAGTATCTGGATCTGAAGTTACATGATTTCCCTCTGGTGTCCTTTATGTTAGGATTGGCTTTTATTAAGTCTGAGTAAAGAAGAACTATGGTCATAACAGAGAGTGAAGAGGTGATCATTAGATTGCTGTCTTGCTTCCCAAAGCATGATTTAGGGATATCTATTTGCATAATGAACCCCAGCCCTTTTTCCAGCACATGCAACACTCACAGCAGTCACTCGCACCACCACCCCCATGAGAATTGGGTAGTGCAACCTCCTGACCCTATCACTTATCTATGCTGACCCTATTGCTTGTCTATGTGTTCTCTGTGAATCTCAGCAAACTGTGCACATGCTTTTGGAAATTAATTGGGTAGAGGCTGATTTCAGGGAAAGGGCTTTGGTCTGGCTGTGCTGAGTGAGAATAACAGCAGTCAGCTTTGGTATTGAGTAGTAATTGTCTTCCCATTCATCTCTGGCTGAGCAAGCAGAGTCCTTTCCTGCAGGCTGGGACAGATAAGTATGCACATTGTGCTCAGATACACTGATGAACATCATGCATGGAGATAAGACACCTGCCCCTCTCCAGAGGCATGGTGGATTGGGGAAAGCTGGCAAGAGGCTGAGCTGAGAGTGGTAGTAAACGTAGTAGTAAACAGCTGTTTGCTAGAAAACAGTAAGTCTGTTAGGCTTGGAGTCACCAAGAAAGAAAAAGAAAGAGAGAAAGAAAAAGAGAGAGAAAGAGAGAGAGAAAGAGAGAGAGAAGAGAGAGAGAAAGAGAGAAGAGAGAGGAAAAGAAAGAAAGAAAGAAAGAAAGAAGAAAGAAAGAAAGAAAGAAAGAAAGAAGAAAGAAAGAAAGAAAGAGAAAGAAAGAAAGAAAGAAAGAAAGAAAGAAAGAAAGAAAGAAAGAAAGAAAGAAAGAAAGAAAGAAAGAAAGAAAGAAAGAAGAAAGAAAGAAAGAAGAAAGAAAGAAAGAAAAGAAAGAAAGGAAGAAAGAAAGAAAGAAAGAAAGAAGAAAGAAAGAAAGAAAGAAAAGAAAGAAAGAAAGAAAGAAAGAAAGAAAGAAAAAGAAAGAAAGAAAGAAAGAAAGAAAGAAAGAAAGAAAGAAAGAAAGAAGAAAGAAAGAAAGAAAGAAAGAAAAAGAAAGAAAGAAAGAAAGAAAGAAAGAAAGAAAGAAGAAAGAAAGAAAGAAAGAAAGAAAGAAAGAAAGAAAGAAAGAAAGAAAGAAAGAAAGAAAGAAAGAAAGAAAGAAAGAAAGAAAGAAAGAAAGAAAGAAAGAAAGAAAGATTCCACAGACCAAACTGTGAATCTTGAAACACACTCTTTCTCAGGACATTTCTTCAGTTTCTTCTACTTTGGCCAAAACCAATGTCTCCTCTCTAGAGCAGTAGTCATAACATGGTCATAAACTCAGAAAACATTGGCATAACAACACATCAGCATAAATCAAATCCCATTTCCAGGCTACAAAGTGTCACTGTTTCCATACTCTTATTCCTTCCAAAGACATTTCCAGCCTATGGTGGGGACCTTTGCCAAAACATCACCGCCTAAGTCACCATCAGCTGCCACAATGGAAAAAAAAAAAAAAAAAAAAAAAAAACTGAAGTCACTATATGCCATCCTACAATTCTGATTTCCCAGATAAACCTCAAAGCTGCCTGGAAAAAAACCTGTGACTGAAGAGTTTCCCAGGAGAAAAAAAAAAAAGAAAAAGTTATTGATGTCATAAACATTGTATTTAGAGTAAAAGGGGAGTGGGAGAAACAGAAATGTTCTGGCAATAGCAAAATATTAAAACAAACAACAACAACAAAAAAAAAAAAAAAACAAATCAAAACCCATGTGAATATAATGTAATTGTAAAAAGTCAAAATGATAATAAAAAATCAATACTAAATGTGTAACCCACCTCAAATTTTTATCTTTTTATAGGATTTGTCTGGTAAATAATGTTGACACTAATGAGTTACACTCAAGATAAGCAAGGCTTTTGACATGGTTTCCCATAGGATCCTACTGGACAAAATGTCCACCATACAGCTAAATAAAAACATCATACGATGGGTGAGCAATTGGCTAACGGGCAGGGCCCAAAGGGTTATGGTAAATGGGGCTGCATCAGGCTGGCGGGCGGTCACTAGTGGGGTCCCTCAAGGCTCCATTTTAGGGCCGGTACTTTTCAATATTTTTATAAACCATCTGGATGTAGGAATAGAAGGTATTTTGAGCAAGTTTGCTGATGACACCAAACTTGGAGGAGTTGTGGACTCGAATGAGGGTGGAAAGGCCTTGCAGAGGGATCTGGATAGGTTGGAGAGCTGGGCGATCGCCAACCGCATGAAGTTCAATAAGAGCAAGTGCCGGGTCCTGCACCTGGGATGGGGAAACCCTGGCTGCACGTACAGACTGGGCGATGAGACGCTGGAGAGCAGCCTAGAAGAGAGGGATCTGGGGGTCGTGGTAGACAGCAAGTTCAATATGAGCCAGCAGTGTGCCCTGGCAGCCAGGAGGGCCAACCGTGTCCTGGGGTGCATCAAGCACGGCATCGCTAGTAGGTCGAGGGAGGTGATTGTCCTGCTCTACTCTGCGCTGGTGCGGCCTCACCTCGAGTACTATGTGCAGTTCTGGGCACCACAGTATAAAAAGGACATGAAACTGTTGGAGAGTGTCCAGAGGAGGGCTACGAAGATGGTGAAAGGCCTGGAGGGGAAGACGTACGAGGAACGGCTGAGGGCACTGGGCCTGTTCAGCCTGGAGAAGAGGAGGCTGAGGGGAGACCTCATCGCAGTCTACAACTTCCTCGTAAGGGGGTGTCGAGAGGCAGGAGACCTTTTCTCCATTAACACCAGCGACAGGACCCACGGGAACGGGGTTAAGCTGAAGCAGGGGAAGTTTAGGCTTGACATCAGGAGGGGGTTCTTCACAGAGAGAGTGGTTGCACACTGGAACAGGCTCCCCAGGGAAGTGGTCACTGCACCGAGCCTGACTGAATTTAAGAAGAGATTGGACTGTGCACTTAGTCACATGGTCTGAACTTTTGGGTAGACCTGTGCGGTGTCAAGAGTTGGACTTGATGATCCTTAAGGGTCCCTTCCAACTCAGGATATTCTATGATTCTATGATAATAATGTAAAGATCTGAGGAACAGTTTCTGTACACACATGCCTTTCTCTTAGTTGTACAGTAGAGGGAAGCACAAGGCCCATTATGAGATGAACATGCCCTTCACTGGTCCTTGAGAAACTACTGTGAAAACAGAAAAAACATCAATTTATTAAGGACCAAACATCCTTCCACTGTACCAGGTAGAACATGTAAAAATGGGTGGCAAAACGGAATATTTGAGATGGAATATATGTGTCATACATGTAAATGCATGACAGGTTTGAATCACTGGCAATTAGTAAGTGTTGTTGTTGCTGTTTTTATGTTTTTGCCTGTTTGATTTTCCCCTTTAGCACTGTGTCTTAGACGATAATTTAATTACAAATAGCAGAGCTCATCTGATGCTGACAGAGAATACCTGGTAAAGGAATTTTACTCAGCAATGACTTCTTTACTCCAATGTTGTTAAGATTTTCTTGTGCCTCAATGCTGAGGAAACTTGTAATTACAGGTTGATCTGAATTCTTTTGCACAAAGCTATGAAATGCAGTCTGTAAATAGGAACCTAGTAAATAAACTTAGCTATCTGCAGATATGACCAACATAACAGCTGCATAATCACTGAATAGTTTTCTAATCCTCATATCAGAATAAACGTTCCTGTTTACTGTATTCTCAAAGTACAGAAATTATACAAAAATTTGTGAAAAATATTTTTTTTATATGAAGTGGAAGCTGCATCTTCTGAGTAAGGAATATTAGCCATGTTGTAAGCTGAGGCCTTATTTCATACATTTAGTTTGAACCTAGTATCAACAGTACAGATAAATAGAAGTAATATTATGACAAAAAGACAAAAATGAGATCTTATTGCCTGGAACAATTTTTTCATGTCCAAAGATATTCCCATGCAAAATCACCATTAGATGTTAAAATATGAGGAAATACCTATGAGCTGAAAATGTGATCAAATAGACATAAACCAGGGGAAACAATTAAACTAATTCTGAATATTTTACTGTAATGCTAGCCTTTGTATACCTCTGTATAGATCCACTTCACTTTATCTATGACAAAATAGCTATAACAAAAAGTTCTCCATTCAAAAATGTCTGTGCAAGATACTTTAACAATCTCAAATTCTGATTAATATCTTTAAATAGAAAGTGTATTAAAGCTGACTCTTTTTTGTTGAAAATGTTTAGTGCCAATGAATCAAGAATGACTATTAAATGAGCAAAATCAGTCTCTGAATTTCTGATTTTTATTATTATTATTTTTTACTTGGAATTATCCCTTATTAATCTGCATTATGGCCAATGATAATATTATATGAGAATTAGGCTCATACAATGCTTATGGTTAAGTGATTCAAATTAAGATATTCTGTTAAGGTGATATCTACTTTGGGGTGATGACTTGGTTCTTTCTGTTGTACAATATTTATTTTTTTTCTGAAAACAAAAAAAGAATGAACAGAGATGGGAAAAACAACAGGAAAACAATGTTACTTTTATAATTCCAGCCATTGTAGTGGTGCCAAACTAAAAATATGAAATAAACAGGGTGCTGAAACACAGTGCCCTCATTACAGCTGGTGCAGGTGGCAGCACTCAGGAGGGCACAATGGGGTCTCCCAACCCTGTGTAACAGGTAGTTATTAACTGTCTGCACAGAGAAAACACTGAGGGGTCCCAGGGCTGTACCAACACAAATGTGTCATGTGCCATATCAGCATCTTACAGTATTATTTTCCTTTTTTATGAATTTGTCAAGTTCCCCATTGCTTGGCTGGGCAGAATCTCTCCACAGACAAGAGCCCTCTCTTCATTCCCGTGTCGCTCCTGCCCCCAGCATCTTCAGCCTGTGTGAACACACTGCAGAAGTTGTGATGGGACCCTCTCTGTGGCACCTGTGGTGATCAGTGAGGATAATTTCCCTCCACTCATACACTCTGTGAAATTCCATGAACAATGATCTCAGGTTCTGGTGGTCTCATCCAAATACAGTATTTATTGTGAATGGAAAATAAAAGGATGATGTAGAATCAAAACAGCTTGCATTTTTTTGTCTATTCCCACATCTGGTCAGAGTTAAGATAGCAAGGTGTGCTGGATTTAGTTACAGTCTATAAAAATATCTTTTTTATTTTGTTTTGTTTTGATTTGATTTGTTTTTTCTTCTTACATTTTGTCATTTTTATACCTGGACACTGATAAACAGGCAAATTCACAAGTGGGCACACTATTTTACTCTTAAGAAGATATATGCTTCTGCAGAATCTCTTCTGTCTTTTTCTTCCCTTTATTTCTCAGAAAAAAAGAAGAATTAGAAAATCCAGACCCCAGGTCAGAAGTTAAAAGAAGACGGGTGTGTTTTCTACTTGTACGTTTTCCCAACTTACTCCCTGAGGATTTTTGGTTCTAATGTACATGACATGAAGGGTTGGTAAGTGCTTTGAATGAACCATGTAATGGGAAACATTAAACATACAGAAGTATTTGTAAAAGTTTGTTTTTAACTGGAATACATCCCAAGATTACTTTCACTTACTCAAGGAAATGCTACAGACTACGTCACTACAAGCACTCAACAGAGAATTAACTTGTATTTAATATTTGCATTATGGCTGGTTATGCATGCTCTTGTACCTCTAGCTTAATGTGTTGAAATTTTAAGGTGATATTCTGCTTTTCTGAGTGGTATCCATAAAAAACACCATCTTTCAAATAAATTCACTTTTCCTGAGTGAATTCATGCTTGCCATTGATGACATAAAAACATCTTTTTTTAGCACTGCAGAGCCATTACAGTTTTGGCAGGCTGCACGGGAGATACCTCCTTCTTCTACATCCTCCAGAAAGTGACTACATCCAGTGCTGGACCACAGTTGGTCCTGCTTGTAGGAGCACTGCAATACATGGCAGGATAAGGCAGTGGAAAAAAACAGCTTGCCCTTGAGAAGCTAGGATTTTGCTTGCATTAGTTAAGAAGAAAACAAATACTTATTTACAAACTGAAAGTAGAGGGAAGGAAAGCTGTGAGACCCTGAGCTACTCCACAGTATCACTTGAGGTGTGATACTCATCCAGGGAGTGGTTGTGCAGGGGACTTATAAGAAAAGCAGAAAAAGCTTTTTTCATCTACTTTTTTTCATCTACTTACTCTTATGATGGTGCTGAAAATGGTAGGTGAAAGGTAGCCTGCTCTTCCCTCATGGACAATATGATTTACTTATTTTTAAAACAGAATGCGTCCCTTTAGCCCTCCACTAGATGAATGTTGATCTCTTGTTACATTGGGTTACCCCCTTCTTTTCCATCACAGCAAACTTCTCTAAATGGTCTTCGCCAAGCTCCTTTACTTCGTATTGCCTTTCTTCTGACATCCCATTCCAAAATATTCCTATCCCTGCAAAAATAATAATAAAAATAATAAAAGACTAGATGACATGTAAAAACAGTAAAGCTATTTTATCATTGTTTTTGCTGCAGAAGAAGAATGGTTCTCTACAGTGTTCAACAACATACCTGCGAAAATCTCAGCCTAGAGAATATGATTCTGTTACAAAAAAATACAGGTTTTCTGCAAATAAGAAAATGAAAAATAATGAGTATATGAAAATGAAAAATAATGAAACACATGGAAATAAATGAAGGAAGGATTTAAGCCTCTGTTTAGCTGCTGTCTGAATATTGGCAGAAGAGCTGGAAATGCTAACTGTGTTTTCTGGAATGTGTCACTGCTGAAATGATGTATTTAATCACACATGTGAAGAGGAGGATAAAAGAAAGAAGGATGTTAATACATACCAGGGGCAAAATACAGAGGAAATGCTCTCTATCAGGGCAGTTCTCGTAGATTCGATGTATGATTTATCTGGTTTAGCAAATTCAGAAAAACATCATGGATCAAAGACTTCAGCCACATTTTCATGAGAAAAACTGCCAAAATGTCATGCAGCACTGAAACATCATTTCTAAAGCATGTAGATAAGTATTTTAATTTTGTTTTTCCATTGTTCTGAGTTGATATGTGCAGTTAGGTGTCTCCTTCAGCATCTGCCAGTGGTTGTGCTCCCACAGCATGTGTGTACTTGTGGAGAAAGTTGGTCCAAACTTGCAGCATCGATATCAACAGCTGTCTGCCTATTAGGATGGACAGCAGCAAGGTCAGAGCCAACCTCATGCTTACTGTGTGCCTTGCCTGAGCAGCTGTCGATACACTCTGTGTGAGTAGTGATGCCCACTGATCTGTACCCATATGAAATCTCTTTTGGCAGCTCATCGATTTTGCAGAAGTTTTCACAGAGGTCCCATTAAATCCACCAAGTAAAAGCTCAGTGAAAATGTGAAACCTGTGGAAAGTTGTGCTAAGCACAGAGGGACATCCAGAATCCAGGAAAAAACTATCAAATCTGAAGTCAGTATCACCTGAGTGACATCCGTGTCATTTACTGCTGTGATCTGAATTGGAACCAAAGATCCTGTAACCACTGAGCAAAGAAAACAGATCTCTCTTTTACCAAAGGTATCTTCAGGAGGCTTTAGCTACAAGGTTTCTATATGCCATCTACACTGCTGACATTTTTGCAATGTATATGCTGCCTTCATCTCTGCCAGAATCTCTTAATGCAGTTTCATCAGACATTCATGCTTTAGGACCTTGATTTAATATATTTATAGGCTGCAGATATCTAGAAACACCTTTTGAAGAAATATTTAAATGCTAGTGGGAAACCCATGGGAAACTACAAATAAAAAACGATTGCTCCAAAATCTCTACAGCTGCAATGACAAATGATAGTTATACTCCATAATTCATTTTCCATTTCTGTCCTTCATTTCTCCTATAATGAGCCTTCTACATTCTTTCAATTAATAGGTAGAAAATATCTTTCTCTACAGATGAAATATTTTGTAAGAGATTTCAGTATCCTCTCTAAATTTGACATCAGTATTTCCTTGGCAATTTACTTTATTAGAGTAAAATTTCACCATTTTCTTCCAAAATAGATTATTTTTAATCTTGATCAGTTCTCTTCTTCTCTGTGTAGTCAATACCTCAAGTAATTGCAGGGCAGAACAGATGACCTAGAAAAACATGAGACAGGGTCAAGAAAAAGGTGGGAAAGAATTTCTTCAGATGGGTTTCAAGGCTGAAACCAGCATCCTTTGATATTGCTGTAGGAAAACACATAGGAACAGTCAAGTCCAAATGTACACATTCTTGAAAAGAAATCCAAGGTTTGTTAAACACAAAGTCAATTTCAGGCATGAAGGTACTGAGCCTAAAATTGGCCTTAGGGGTCTGGGACGGTATTTGGGAAAGCAATGCAACACTCTTGCATTACTCTTCTCTTCCTGAGGTGTATGCTGTTAAAGAGAGGACACCATCAGTAGGTCATAACCTAATGACAACAGTTTTTGCGTTCATAACACACATATATATATATATATATTTTTTTTTTTTCCCATCTCAGCTTGAACTTTTTGTGGGCAGGCACACCATTGGCAGCTTGCAGGGGGAAGGAGTTAGTGGGTGATGGGAGTTATTCATTGTGCTGATACAAAACCTGCCAAGGCAGGACAAGTAATGAGAGACACAGAATCACAGAATCACGGAATGTCTAGGTTGGAAGAGACCTCAAGATCATCGAGTCCAACCTCTGACCTAACGCTAACACTCCCCACTAAAACATACCCCTAAGCTCTACATCTAAACGCCTTTTAACGGCTTCCAGGGATGGTGATTGCACCACTTCCCTGGGCAGCCTGTTCCAATGCCTAACACTTAAAATGACCTTGATAAATGGCAATGAGGATCTTAAAAATAAGGTATCATTTAATACAGAGTAAGGCAACATAATGCACTTAGTAGGAAAGATGAGTTGTATAAATAAAGCAGAGGAAATTGGCCAGAGACTTGTTCTGCAGAAAAGAGCAGGGAATCCATGGTGGCTGAGAAAAAGGCAGTCATAACATTAACATGAAAAATACAGCCCAGCCAGGTAGGCTGGTGATGCACCTATCTACACATAGGTCTAGAAAGCTCTTTCTGGTCCCTTCTCCTGTGCAGTAGCCTTTAATAAAGACAGAGGGAAACATCTTTTCCTCAGACTGTTGCTGCTGAAAGCGCTGATAATACACATAAGAATAGATTACTTCTAAAGGTCAAAGAAACTTCTCCATTAGTGATTTTTAAGAAGGTGGCAAGCACCTCTTGAGAATGGTTTATGCACCACTAATCCTGTCCTTCTGCGAAGCACCATCACATCCAAACTCTGCTCTCTGTTTATCTGGCCATAATGGTGAAATCTGTTTCTCCAGATTTCCAGTCATCAGCTCAGGCAGTATAAATAGCTACTGCATAAAATATAACACTCTATAATTAATCAATATTTTAATTCATAGTTAATTCTTTAGCCTAATATATATTTTAACGTTCTTGTTGTTAAGGTTATTCATGCTTACATATTTGACTCCGTAATGTAACTTGGCTTACTGCAAGACGGTAACTGTGAAGCTCAAGGTGCTTAAAGCTCAATAGCTAATAAATATAGGAGTACAGAAACACTGCAGCACTTACCATTAGTGATGTACATACCAGTGGTCATGATCCAGACAGAAGAATAGAAAGATGCACAATGGATGCACTGTACATGAAAGGATGACTGAGACACAGGGGCCAGTTCTGTATCACCCTTTCTTCAAGCACATTCATGTCTGACTCCTTTTAGTTAGTATGTCTTCTTATGGCAGGGAACAAGACCAGGTTTGGTAATGGAAGGTTTCCTCCTAGGCTGTAATTTAAGCTGATTTGAGACTACATCCAGATGCCTTGAAACGTGGGTGCTTCTAGGTCCTTGCTTATATGCAAAAGTCCTGGGATTCAAAACCTTGAATTCCTGAATTCATGGTGGAAAAATAAAGAACTAGACAAAAAGGGGAAAAAAAAGGGGTAAAAGTCTGCATTTAATAAGCCAGTTCTGCCTCTAGTAGTCTTTGTAGAGGTTCTTGTCTTGTGCTTCCTTATACAGCTTCTGGGGCTTTGTGTTGTTCTTTTAGTCACTGCTACACTTTGAGCGTGTTTACTCAAGTGTGTATAACGTGTAAGAGAAATATACTTTCTCTGTGTTAGGGAACAGCACATGTGGTCCACAAAGTACTCAGCATGCCAAAAGAGTTAAATGGTGTGAGTTCTTTGTCAAAAGACCACCAGATCAGTCAGTGCCATGAGGCAGGGAATTCATCTGGAGCAGGTACCTACAACTGATCTGTCTCAGTTACAGACAAGCCTCCCACAAGCCCTCAGAGCTGACCACTGAAATCAGATAGTTCCAGTCTGGAGAAAAAAAAAAAAAAAGCGCATCAACACTAAACCTCTGGTTTCACTGTGGCAAACCTTATGTTATATTATATTATCAATTTTTGACTGACAAAGACTTCACAGTGAATTTCCCTTTAGGCACAAGTTTTTCTGTCTGTTTTTGTCCAGAGGGTAACTATGGCAACCCTAGGAAAAACTACCACCACCAACAAAAATAACAGTTTATTATTGCATTTATGCTGGTGTTCATCCCATAAAAAGGAAAATAATTTGCTATTTCTGTTACATCACTTCGCAGCATGCAATTTTTTAAACAGGTCTTTTATACTTATGGTATGACTTGGCACTGGCTGCCTTTGAGATCCCATTACACCAGCACATGCAAGAGTGCTCCAACACAGCCTGGAATTTTCCCCAAGTGGTGAAATTGGATGACAGGAGAGCAGCCACATGTGAAGGGGTGAGGAGCTCCGTTTTTTCTTGTAGTTGTTGTTGTTTGGTTGGTTGGTTGGTTTTACAATTTTATGAAAAAATGGAAAATCAGGACTTCAGAATCTTTTGCTATCTGCCTTCATAAGGTCAAGAGCATGAATTATGGTTCTTACTACTTGTACACAGATAAAAGACTCATGACCTTGTACATCTAGAGCCAGTCTGAAAGAGAGATCAGTTACCTCCTTGTTACAGGCTCTTTGGCTTTAATTTTGCAATTTGAGCATAAGTTGAAACTTTTTATATTTTTAAAATAGTTGTTGGTTTGGACAGATCTTGTCATGCTGGTCTTCTGAGGAGGAAGACCTCCTGCTTCTCTGTGGAGTTGCCTATGCCTGGCTTGCAGCACAGTGAGAGAAGCTGATGTCTCAGATCTACAAGTGCGAAGACAGATTTAAGGGACAACTGCAGGACAAGAGCAAAACACAGCAAATTATATTTTCTTGGTGGAAGAGGAAAGTAATTTTTTTTTTTGGGGGGGGGGGGGTAGGTGGTAGGGAGTAAGCAAACTGAACTGTTAAACACAGAGAAAACAAACAGGCCTACGTGCTGTACCCACTCTGTGGCAGATGAGGCGGGGGCTGCAGTAATGAGTCTTTCTCAGCAAAATGAAGGTTGCTTTTCACTAGGCACGCACTGAGTATTAATACTCTGAATTGAGACCACTGCCGCTTGGGAGTGATGAAACTGGAACTGAGCTTTTCAGCTGAGCATGAGCTTCTCAAATGACAGCTCCTTCTGCAGAGAGACAATTTAACCAGGCTGCCAATGAGGGGAGGTTTTGTACGAACCTGGGAAACTTATCAGCAGTAGCAGTTGTTACTGCTGCAAGGCAAAACTGATTGAGTTTGAAGAAGGAAATGAGAATCTGCAGGTTTTAGGCAACCACTGCAAAGTCAGACTACCCTTGTCTTTTGCTCTCAAAGTGAGCAATATTTACCTCTATTTACTGAGCCAGAAAAAGTGATGCAGGTACTACAGCTTACTAAAGCTGTGCACAGCCCATATTGCTGAAATGCAGTCAGACTACTGCTCACTCTAAATATGCATTGCATGCTTTGCATTTGCAAAGTCTCCTGTGATGTTTTGGCAGTTTAAAGCGAGCCCACCAAATTGTGAAGTTTCCAAAGCAGCACAAAAAAGCTGTTTGAGTCAAGAGATCCCCAAACCCAGGAATAATATATTGGTGAGGGTGCCTGGCTGATGACTCTTGAAAACATAGGGTCTTAAGACAAGTTTTTCCAGTGGTTTTCACATCAAAACATCCCTGCAATACACCCCTGGAAAAGAGTTGTGTAATCTCTCACAGGTTAAACAAATCCACCTGTCTTCAAAGAATTTTTGACCTGCAGGCAGCCATCACAGAGAAGAGGAAAACATTCCCATTTATCATCAGCATCCTGCAGGAGCCTTGCTGCCATTTTCTGTGGCAATGTCTGGGGCCTGGACGCTCTGCATCTTTCCAGCCGAGTGCTGAAATGAATTATAGTCCTTTCAAATTGTTGCTCAGGATGTGCCATGCATACAGATTGTGTGAATTCCTTGGCTTTCATTTGTGTCCTGAGTAATGGCCTGCTCTTGAATCTTGTTAATAAATCAGAGATGACACTCATTCCACTGAACCTTGCACACAGTGGGACTGTCAGTGAGCAGGAGAAAAAAGGTCCTATCATGCTCTCCAGAGATCACATGAAATAAAAATACAATGGAAGAAATTTAGGACATGGTAGAAAAGTAATACAGGTCTTGTCCTGGGAAGAGGAAAATGTACAGCCTGAATCCAGCTTTTTGGTTTATGACATATCTTGCAATCTCACCCACAGACAGGCTGTGTGTATCCAGCTATGAAGCAGATTGCTATTACTTTTTAATCTAGTTGTAATTCATTTGGGGGGATTTTAAAAATTGCTTTCTTTTGTGTGCCTTGTAAAGTGGCGAGCATGCCCATTCCAAAATAATGTAATGGTGAGGCACGGGAAACAGAAGGTTTTACATAGTGATATTTCCAAATTTACAGCTGGTTAGGGCTGACATATTTTACAGGGATACCCAGCAAATCAGGTTAAAGAGAAAATATATCTTCCTTCCCTTTTCTGTACTTAACTCTTCAGCAGTCACTCAAGAGAAGAAATATTTGGTCAGAAGTTCATATGCTGTTCATCCTGCTAGGAAAAAAAATAATATGTATATATATATTAGTAACACTGAAAGGTTTTTGGATGGTGATATGGTGAAATGCTGCTGGCAGGAGTCTGATCTTCAATTGCCAGACACTTTTTCTGAAGAACCTTCACTTTTCAAGGTGGAAGCCCTTCAGTCTCTCTCTGCAGGCTGTTCCACCTTCTACATACCTACAACTGAACTACTCTTTTCCGCTTTTTGATTCCATGGAATTTCCACAGGAATTAAGGAGTGAACAGTGTAAAACACAACACTTAAAACATTATCAAGAATGCTGCTTTTTTAAAATACGGGAAAAAGAGTGATGCTATGACACTGCCTAGGATCTGGCCCTAACCCCAAAGAAAACAGGCAAGGGTGTTATACAGGTACCTTCTTTCTCTCTTGGATGCTGAGCAGAAAAATCTGTAATTAGATGTAGTTAACAAATTAATGGAAATATAAGTTCCACTGATTTGTGGATCAGGTGTCCGGTTAATATGGTCCCCATGACCAAAAATAAATAAGGGCTTTTGAGAATGTTCACATCTGATTGTTTCATTCTGGCAGCAGTATGGGTGAAACCTATGCAATAGGGTCCTGATTCCCATCCTGACCTCCACAGAAGTGTGCTTGGTTTTAACCCTAGTGTGAAGCAAGCAATAGCATCATCTGTGAATAATTTTCAAACTGATAGCCACATGTGAAGAATGACTCTTTTCAAACAACATCTAATGGGAGTAACAAGGGCAAATATTTCAAGGAACATTGTTTTTCTTATATGAAATTAAGAAATAGGTGGCTAGGTTTGTCTTCTTCCTGTCTCTTTTCATTAAGCTAGAATTTTCTGAGCAGCTATTTAAAATCTTAGTGATGTGTATATTTGAAACACATATCCAAAATTTAAAAACATATTAAAATGAATACAACATACATGTTCATACAAATGAACGTATCTTAAATACACTTTTATTTAAGAAGTGGCTTATCTTTTTAAGTTTGATCTGAATTAATTTCTTTTCTCTGGATGTAGGTGAGAATTGTAAATCAGAACTCAAGATTTATTGGATTCACACTTTACAAATAGATGTCATATATTTTTAATTTAAGTGTTAGAGACATGTGGAAAAGTTTCAGTAGATAGAAGAAATCTTCTGCTAATCAAAGAAATAATGCTTCTTTATTGCTTATGGAGCCAAAATACTTTAAATTCTTCCTCCTGAGGTGTTACTTCACTGATAAGGTGATAAGGTAGTACATCACAATCTCTCACCTCTCAAGTATACAAAGTATTTTCCATGATATGAACATTCTGATATCCATGAATGATTTAAGTCACCGTGTTTAAATGCAATGCTTTTTAATGGAAACTTTCATTTAACAGGTGCCTTGAAGCTTGCCAGACTCAGTTCTTGTCTACAAGGGAAAATCTTCCCAAACTGCTTTTCTCCCAAGTTCTCATTGCACAGCATTAAATGAAAACAACCTCCTCAGGATCCTGCCTGAGGGAGGCTGGCTCACATCAGAGCTTCCTTCACACACTCAGTGCTGGCTGCATGTATGGGACGAGTGGTGTAAGTGGAGTTTGAGATGACAGCTCCATTTCTTGGTTGTTTCTGAGGTCTCAGGCCTTTTTTCTAAATTTGGTGGGAGGGGATTTTGAAAATTTTCACCAAGCAGCCTGGTTCAGTAGAAAAATCTGTTTTCATTTCATGTATCTTTAGCTGATGTACTTGTTGAAAAAATTGTTCAAACTTGGTTAATTTCCATAAAATATTTCTGCTTTGAGAAAAGATGATATACTGGTGCATACACAGTTCACATTAGCTGCCTCAGAGACTGCAGCATTTAATTCCAGCAGCTGGAAAGAGCAGTCCCCAGAATTCAGCTGCTCTAAGAGGATGGATAAAGAGAAGAGATTGCTAGGTAATGGAGCTCTTAGCCAAGAGCAATTAACACCTTGACCTGCCTCCAGAAATGGACAGCAGAGTGAGCTATATGCTATTAAAAGAGTAATCAGGGGAAAGGCTGTTCTGCTATTTTCTGCTGCAAAGTGATGTTCAAGCAATCCCTAGCACAAGTCCCAGCAATTCAGGCTGGATGTGACAAGGACAGGGACCACCACGGTGACTCCCCCAAGCCACAGGCTGGTGGAGGTCAGAAAAGGTGCTGCAACTCACAGTTAGTGTGGCTCACTGATGCTGCCTGTCTATAAACAATTTTCCTATATAAGGCTCAGAGAGGGCTACAGACCCTACTTCTGGATGTTTTTCCAGCGTTATTTGAAAGGAGCTTGCTTTTGTTTCAGAACCAGATTTCTCAGGCTGAGGACCTTGCTGGGAAAGGAGTGAGATGCCATCCTTGTGTCTGGGCAGAAGTGAGCACAGAGAACAGCTAACGGTGAGCACCAGTGACTTGCAATCTCCCCATCTTGGGCCCCCTTTTCCCAACCTGCTCCACTGAGCAGTTAGCAGCATGCAGAGGGCACATAGATCATGAATACTTCACACTTGTTTTGCTTTGCCTCATTAGCCTCTCCTTGCAGATGTGCCTTGTGGTCTCTTCTCTCTGGTATGCCAAGTCCATTATCCCCACAGGTGTGAGGCTGATGCAATGTCAGGACCCAAGGTCCAGTCAGTAGCAAGGCTGAGCAGTTATTCCTGATAGGCGCATGAGCACAAGATACAGAGAGCTTCTGCTGGAATATATGAGTTCCCAGGACCCACCACCCTGAACCACTTGCTGATCAGGTCCAGACCTATGGTCACAGCAGCAACAGACTCTCAGCCCTCTGCTCTCTCAGCCTTACTGCTCAACTACCCTGTTGAAGTCCACGAGCAAATTATGCATGAACACATACACACATACCCCAGCAGTGGAAACCACATATTTGCTCAGGATACACACAGTTTGGTCTCTGTTGCTGCTGGCTCCACAGACATGTGGGTTCCTATGACTTGTAGCTCCTGGAGGTGAGCCCCAAGCCCTGCAACCTTATACTGGTCTCAGCCAGGTGGTGTGGTGCTGGGTGGTGAAGCTGACATGGCACATGGCCTAAGCTCTTTGACACACAGTGACTTCTGTCCACACATTAAAATACAGCCTTTGGGAAAATAACACACAGTTTAATTTCTTCTTCTTCTTCTCTATTTTTTCCCCAAATTGGTTTCATTACAGAAGAGAAAGTGCATATGTCCTGAGTTTATGAGTAAAGCATGTTTTTAGGAAAATTGGGAACAGAAGGCCTGTTTTGCTTAAAATATGGTTCTATATCCTATACACCCATGAATGGAAATAATTTTGCCAGTCCTATTTCATAGTTCTTAGATCCCTTGAAGTCAACGATGTATTTATAGCTATAAAGTGTGGATTGTTGGCAGTATTAATTAGATTGAAAGGAAGCCTGTTTTTCTTCCCTCTAGGAAGGGTGATTTACTGTCTTGGAATATTCAGTGCTTGGCCTGAAACACTAGCAGTCTGGATGCACCTTTACCTTTCATGTGGATGAG